CCACCGCGCCTCCTTTCTTTCCTCTCGCGGGTTGCACTACGGGATTTCCCTCTCCTCCCCTCCTCCCCCCTTCGGCGGTCGCGGATTTCGTGCATTCCGAAATCCGGGCTTGTCAATCAATCCCCCAGTGTCTTATATTCCTCCGTGGTGTCATGATACGGCGATCTTCGGCCAACGTTTCTTGAGATAATATCGCTTGGGTTGCGCTCTTCAGCTTGGTCCTTTTGGATCAGTTGTTCCCCTGGCGTAATAGCTCGGCTCTGGTTCAGTGTGCTTTGGCTCGGCCTCCGGTTTTGCGGGGAACTGCAGCACTGAGGTGCTTGGCTTTGTGGTTCTGTTGCAGGTGATGATGATGAGGGGCGTGCTACCGATCTGGCGAAGATGAAGCCAGAGCGTGGCGAGCTGCATCAGTTACTACTGGCCGGCGAGCCGGCACCCAAGCAGGAAGCCGTTGTGGATGTGTTCGAGGACTGCGAACAGATGGGCATGCGCACCGTCCCGTTGTTCGTTGCGGCACCGATGGTGCGCTATTCCAGGTTTGGCGTGTATTCCTATGCTCTCCTGTGTTACTAGGTCCACCGGGCTCTGTATCATCAAAGGCCTCGTTTCTGTTAAAGCTTAACGTATTTTGAGAATTTTGCTCTTTTTGCATATTTATGCAAATACAAAAACGCATATTGTGACGACGCATTGTATGCGTATTTTTCTCTGCGGTATTTCAACTCGACAACCGGGGAGGCTTTGTTGTTGAAATTTTCGCTGTGGGTCTCCTGGCTAAACACTATCCTTGAAACACGGTACCCAACTTTCACGCATGAGTCCCGCGTAGGGCGCGTCAAATTTTTGTCTGGAAAATTGCTTACTCGAGAACAAGAAAAGCGGAAACGCTGGATTTTTTTAAGGAGATTTTCCCTGTCCACGTATAATTCGAAAATTTCAAATTTAGTTCGTAGGTACGCGTGTTTCTTGCGTATGGGCATGTGGAAATTTTGGCTGGGAAATCATCAACTCTGGAACTATGTGAGCTAGAGAACTGAAGTTTTTTTTGGGAGGAATTTCTCTGCCCAGGTGCGACAAAATAGCTTGGCCTGCTGTTAGGAAAGCCAAAGAATCAGGGATAGGAGCAGGGGGCTATTTTCTGCTACATTTCCCTGGCAAATGTTAAAGCCAGAATGTACAGATTTTCCCGCTTTGCTTAAATATCTTGTTCGTTTATCTCACGCAAAAAAACCCCTTAAGAGTGCACGCCTGGAGTTAAACCACTGGATGTGGTATCATTTTTGAACGAGTTTGCATGTACGCAAGTCGCTAGACAGCAGCTATACGGGGTATGCAAAATTTTGAAAAAAGTGCCCAGGGAAAGCTAAGTCGGGATGCCGGACGCTCGACACAGTGCTATTCGTGAGAGACGTGGCTGCATTAATATTTTTCACATTTTTAGAAACTGAAAATAGGGGGAAAAATAAGAGGATGTTATGGTTTTTGCAGAAATATTTCCCAAAAATAATTGTTAAGAATGTGAACAGGGGCCTAATTTGAGAATTAAACTTTTTATGTGCAAAAAGTAGAGGTGCAGCTGGAAAAAGCGTTTCGCTCCATGAATTCGTATACATTTCTCTCTAATGTCATGCTGGACCTTGTTAGTACGACGGTTTTGATGTAATATAATCAAAATTTTAAGAGATTTTATTAAAATTGTGAAGTTGGACAAAACAAAATGGTAAGGAAGTTAAATGGAGAGTGTGGATTAATATAGTTAGAATTTTTTAAGAAATTAGTTAAAATTATTTAAATTATTGACAAAGTCTTACCTCCGTCATTTTTGTTACTGCTTGCTATTATGCAAAACTCCTATTATGCCACCCATTAACATTGAAAATATGCTACAGCTAGTGAAACTGCTTCTCGAACTAATTCTGGAGGCTTCATCGGTAGCGAAGCTGATTGTGCTGCTTTTAGGTTACCCTTCCGATTGCTGGTACGTGCATATTCGGCTGATGTTGCATTCACACCGATGATCTATGCGAAGCATTTTGTTGCCTCGGAGAAGTGCCGCGAAGCCGAGTTCATCACCAGCATTGGTCTCTCCTTTAATGCTTTAAGCACTTTTGTTCGTCTGGAGCAGTTTTACGTTAACAGTACTGTAATCGCATTTGCATCACTTGATACCGGTCACGCTGTTGCCGGTGATCTGTTTCCTTGTTTTTATGCGTTTTTTGCAGCTATGCAATGCAAAACGCATATTGTTGAGGGGTTGCCTGTGTGTATGTATGTATGTATGTATGTATGTATGTATGTATGTATGTATGTATGTATGTATGTATGTTGTATATATTCGTCTGTAACGAGTTTTCATCTCGAGATCCACAAAAGCCATAAGGTTGAAAATTTGGTGTCTTAATCTACACATACGTGACTCTGCAACCGAAGCATCCAGAGCACTGGATCTTCTGGGTGTGGATTGGGAGTCATTGTAATAATTTCTAACAGTCGTGGTGGCCAATCCCAATTCTTTTAGCTAGAAGTATCTGCCAGGAAGAACGTACAACTGGCGAAAAAAACCTGCGGGGAAACTGTGCAAAAAACGCATCCTCGTACCGGTAGCCGGTACGCTTTCTTCTGGGTTTCCTCTCAAAGAAGTGCTGCATGTACGATGATGATTGTGGTGCAGCTCCACGAACAAGGCCTTTGTCACATCGATGCCTCGCATAAATTATGTTAGACGCATAAGCATTTGTTGGAATCAGTTTAAGAGTCATAGCTAAAACCCCTCTCGTATTCACTGTCTGCGAGAGATGGAGGCACTCGGAAACAAATCGAGCTAGTGCCAGCAGCAAATACTCGCAAGCAGGATTATCGATGGCTTCTTTTTTTGGCACATAATGCATCGGTTCATATTGCATTTGAGACCGTTTCCTTCCAAATCATGCATAATTTATGATCAGATGCTGTCGAGAGGAAGTGCTTTCACTATTATCCGCTTTCTAGGTCTTGTTATTTTATGCAGGTGACCAGCCAACAATCGTCCAGTTTGCCACAAACGATCCTGAAGAATTTGCTGAAGCAGCGATGTTCGTGAGCAGGTACTAGCATCCACATACCACTGAGCAGTCTACCATGCAGCATCTATAACAATCTAACATTTTAACGATGTATCAGCGCCAGTGCTTCTGTTCTGTTATACATTTTTGCATTTTTACGCGAACGCAAAAACGCATGCTCTCGAAAGGTTGTCCATGTGCGTGGATTTTGGGGGATGAGTGAACTTTGTCATCCACTTTCAACACAGCAATAGGAAAAGTTTGGAAACTGGAATTTTGGGGCGTATTCACAAAATTGTGCCGTTTTTCCGTTTCAGAATCTCCTTCCCAGTACGCCAGAGTGTCATGTATGATGGATGAAACAAGGCATATAAATTTTTTGGCGGGGAACCAAACAACAACTTTCTGTCGAAAGCTGAAATTTCGCGTTCTTTGTGCTCGGTTGAGTCAAAAATCTCAAATTCAGTTGTCGCACATGCTTCCATCACGCATAAGATCGTTTAAAATTTCGGAGTTGGCCCTGCCAACCCAAGAACCACCCGAAGACGGCTATGGATTTGCCGAAGTGTCGTCCACCAGGGGATTCGTTTGCTTCCACGGGATTTCGGACAGCAATTGCGGCGCACTCCAAGGCATACGGGAAATATTTGTAACGCGGTATCGATTTCGATATCCGAAGCTGAAGTTTTAAAAGAATGTTCTATGTTCACATTTTATCTGAAATTCAGCTTGGACGCTGAATTCCTTACGAACATAAATGTTTGGTTCAGTCTTAACCTTAAAATAAGTGCAAAATTTTGCTTGGATTTCGTTATCCTTCTCCCTTCACATCCACCTTATTGTCCAGTTTACATTTTCAATGAATAACCGATGAGAAAAAATTTTCTGCTTCGTAGTTGATGATAGAAAATTTCGATAGAAAAAAAATTTTCTGTCATCGGCGGAAAAATTTTGAATAACTAATGATAGGAAATTTTTCGCTTGGTACATGCTAAAATTTACGCTAGCTATGCTCGATGGAGGTCAAGATTTCACGAGGCGTCGTGATATAACTCTGCCGTGTCAGCCAGTACCATTTTCCTCTGCATGCAAGGGAACACCAATACGCAGCCAACATGAGTGCACGTTTTAAGCTGTAAAGCAACAACCGTTCATACTGTCAGCAGTCTGATTGTTTCAAGTATATCGCAGAAGGGCATGGTCGCACCGAAAATCTGGTGCATTGCTACCTGGTTTTTTATGCGTTTTTGCTTATATGCAAATTGCAGAAACGCATATTGCAACAACCCTGCCCGTGTGTGTGTGTTCGTCTGTCCGGTATTGCAACTCGGCAGTCAAGTAAGCTCCGGCGCCAAAATTTTGCCAGTGGATTTCCCGGCCATATGCCACCCCAGAACTGCGGTGCGAACTCTTACGCAAGTTTGGGCCCCATGTACGAGAGGGTGAAAGTTTTGGCGGAAGAATTGCTAAGTCGGGGACGGGAAAAGCTAGGAAGCTGAAGTTTTGAGATTATGTTCCTCGATCACAAAGAACTCAAAGGTTTCGAATTGAGCCCGGGGTTTGCATGGTTCCCGCGTGCAGCCCCTTGAAGATTCCTGACACGAAAATCGCTAACATGGTAATATTCCAAGAACCAGGAAAGCTGGAAGACTGGAATCTTCAGGGAATATTCCTTGCACATATACGACTCAAAGTTATCGAATTTAGGCCTCAGGCATGCGTGGTTTTCACGTGCGATTCCGTGAAACTTTTTGGCGGGAAAATGGCTAACTTGGGGATCAGAGAAGCTGGGAGGCTTAAATTTTAAGGGAATGTTCCCAGCCCACGCACAACTTAAAGATTCCAGACCCAGCCCCCACGTATGCTTCCAGGTTACGTGAATCCCTGTGAAAGTTTCGGTGGGAAAATTGCAAACTCGAGGACCAGAAAAGCTGGAAAGCTGAGATTTTAGGAGAATATTCCCTGTCCAAATACAACTTGAATGTTTCAAATTCAGCCTCCACGTACGCGTAGTTCTCGTGTACGGGCACGTAAATTTTTGGCCAGAAAACTACTCTTTGAAAAGCTAGGTCATTTTCAAATAAATGGCCAGCGCACGGGCTGCCCGTGCGGAGATGCGTTTTTTGCAGAGTTCCCCGCAGGTTTTTGTCGCTACCGGC